CTCACTGTGACGGAGTCACTGAGTGCCACGAAGACACGTGATGAAAACTAACTTAATTTTTAGAAACATTACGTATGCGGTTGTTTTGTTTAAGACTTCCTTTGTTTATTCCTTGCTGACATTGCTTTGTAATTATAATTCATGGTATGATTAGTATGCGTAGAAATTTCTGGAACGTTCGATGGTAATCTCGCAAGTATGATGTAATCACGGTAGGTATTTTTGTAAAGTTACGTAATAATAAGTAGGAGTATAAATAGAGGCTGTGTGCCCGTGAAGGGGAATTCTTTTCTTAGTGGTGGTTAGAGAGTAGAGTTGTAATGATTTTAGTGATTATATCGGCGTGGTAAAATTAAAAAGGTCTATTTCTTGCTTCGTGGACTGTTCATGTAGTTGTTGCGTTCGAAGCAATATTGAGTTCACGACATTTTGGTACCAGAAGTGGGGTCATTTATCGCCGAGGAAAAATACTTCGGTAGGCGAGGATCACGTAAGTGGAGTAAAAACTGTTTAATTTGGTTTGAAATACTGTAGTGTGTTGGAATAGTACCATGGCAGCCGAAGGAAGACGAGGGAAAAGGCAGGAAGAAGCCCAGCATACAAGCGAAGAACGAGGGGAAAGTGGAGCAGTTTTAGAAATACTTAAATGGATGACAGAAAAAGAAGAAAAAGAGCGCCTCTATAGAGAGGAGCAGGATCGAAAGAGAGACGAGCAGTTTATGCAACTAATAGCCACACTTGGAAAAAAGCAATCCGACATAGAAGAGCAAGTAAAAGCACAAGAGGCGCAGCGAAAACAAGAGGAGAAGGCCCAGTTGGAGAAAATTATTCGTCTTCAGAATGAAGAGCGGGAAGCCAGAGAGCGAGAAAGGGAGTAAGAAATTAAAGCAAGAGAACTGGAAAAGGTAAATCGTGAGCGAGAGAAAGAGGAAAGGTTGGCCAGAGAGGAGGAAAGAAGACTTGCGTGGGAAGCACAAGCTGACAACGAGAGAAGGCAATTTTTAGAGAAATTCGCAGAACTCAATTTATCCAGCCAGGGACAAGAACCAATGATAAACGTCGGGAAGCCTGCTCTTAAAAAGCTCTGTGAAGATGACGATATAGAGCATTTTCTCACCACATTCGAGCGTGTAGCGGAAACATACGGATGGAAAGCAGAGGTTTGGTCGGTGAAATTAGCACCATTGCTATCTGGAAAAGCACAAGCCGCGTATGCCAACATGGACCCAGAGAAGTCTCGCATTTACGAAAAAGTGAAAAAAGCCATTTTGAGGAGGTACGATATTAATGAAGAAACCTATTGTCAGAGATTTCGAGCCACAAGGAAAAGGAACGAGAAGAGTTGCACTGAACTGGAGGTGAAACTGCGTGATCTATACTGCAAGTGGGTACATCCCTCTACAAGTACAAAGGAGCAGATTTCCAATGCTATCATAATGGAGCAGCTACTAAGTTCTCTGCCATTAGAGCTACAAATTTGGATCAGAGAGCGAAAGCCTACAAAATCAGAAGAAGTTGCCATATTGGCTGACGATTACCTGTTAGGACGAAAGGCCACAATCAGGGTACAGGGTACCCAAGAAATTAGATGTCATGGTTGTAAAAAGACTGGCCATATTTTAAAGAACTGCCCTGTACCAAAACAAACAGATACGACGGTACCAGTAGGCAAAAGAAAGCCTGAAAACGATACAATACAACATACACCTACAAGGAGCTCGACAATTCAGTGTTTTAAGTGTGGGAGACCAGGACACATTGCTCTGCATTGTCCGTCAAATCAGGCCAACAACAACAACAAAAGAGGGAGACATACGGGATATTATGTTAAACATAAAGACAAGTTGATCAGATCAGCACAACCATTTGACTTTGGAGAGCATTCAGTTGGTAAAATTCTAAAGGCTTTCAGCTGCAGGGGGGAAATAGAAGGGAGACCGGTAGACATTCTTGTCGACACTGGCTGTTCAAGGACACTTGTGCACAAAGACTTGATACCAGAAGGCAAAGTCAATGAGGAAACCAGAGTTGCTATACAATGCGCACATGGTGATTATGTCAGCTACCATACTGCCGAAGTCAGCATAAAGATTCAAGACAAAGTGTTCTTGCAAAGGGTTGTGGTGTCTCCGAAACTTCCAAGACCGGTTCTGTGACATTATCTTCTTGATTGTTCTGGTTGAAGTACTGGTATTAGGAATGAACAAAGCGAATGGCCTATTCTGAAAGAAGATAAGTATTGAGCGATAGCAGTGTGGATTGTTTGCCTGCCAGCAGTAGCTCAAGCAGTACTCACCTTATTGCGGCGATCAACCCCGAATGGATCTGCATTCTTTGCTTCAAGGAATTAACTGCCAATGGCAATAGAAACTTAGTTGAGGGTAAGGGTACATTCAATGCTATTGCAAAAATCAATTTACTGCCTTTTATTGTTAACAGAGTTGTAGCTTCTCCCTATATCTGCAAGAAGTGCCTTGGAAACTTAAAGAAAAGGAATGCTTGCAGTGCAAAACTTGTTGCTCTCGATGAGGAATTTGAGCAGGATTATAGAAAAGTCTGTTTCAAAAACCAAATTCCAGTGAAATCAAAGTCGTCTTCAGTTATCATAAAAAAGACCTATGTCAGCTCTGTTGATGTAGATATTGAAGAAAATGAATTTCAAGGGGATCAACATCGAAAACCTGGTTGTGTCAGTGTGAGTACGCAAACAACAACTGTCACATCCCATACCAACTTAACAGCTAATGTTAGCGAAACATTTCAGACAAAAGCTTTCATCAAGATAGTATGGGAAAGTGGAACAAGAGAACAGATGCTACCTGAAATGTTAGTTACTTTGGGGAAAATGCTTCTTTGAGGAACCTTAAAACAGATAGCTGTTGCTGCATTGAAATGTAGCAAGCCGAGACCTTTTTTAATCAAAGAAATGTACAAAGCTATTTATAATCAATGTCCCACACTCTGTGCCAAAAAAGATTTATCAATCTTGGCAAAAGTAAAAAAGAAGATTTATTGAATTTTAGTTTCCAGAACCTCAACAATGAACTGGAATTAAAGTCACCACTTTTACATGGAGTTTTAAAAATTGCCTTTATCAGCAGGTCAAAGAAGAAAATTGATTTATGGGTGCCTCCATTGTGCATGGCTACTGCTATCTGCAGAACCGTTCAAGTCACGCAACTGCATTACAATTGCTGATATCAATCATATTCCAACATTGCAGCTTAACAGTAAGCATAACTTGTATAATTATTCTTATCTTAATTGAAGATTAAAATCTGTTTTAGCAGTTGCCAATTTTTTTATCATAAAAATAAACCTTCAATAAAAATTGATAATGATGTCATAAATTTTGTTGATCTTTGTTTCAATTTTTAAGATTAATTTTATCAAAAATTGATGGTTATTGAACATCCAGT